AGGTGCTAATAAAATTCTCCACAGCTCTGCTAACAGGATCTAATCAATTCCCCAAGGGCCTGTCTCCTTACACCATCACTTTGGGGGTGCTGCCAGCTCTCCGACATGGTGGGGAAGATAAAGCAGGGCTTGGACAGTAATGGCTTCAGTTTCCCCGATTAAGATGACCCAACCCAGAGAGAGAAGGTGCCGGGGATCAGGGGTGGACGAGGACCTCAGACAAGGCACAGAGGAGGGACTTCTGGTCAGATGGCCCCAGTCATTAACCACAACAGGCTACAAGGCTCTGCCTACGGCACCGGGGGCTCTTCAGGGCAGGGTGCCAACAATGCCCGGGAGGCTCTGCCTTCCCGGATGACGGGTTCTGTAGAAAAGAAAGAAATCGTGAGATTGAGGCAGGGTCCCGCCACTGGGCCCTCTCCCTGTTTTTCCTGCCCTGGCCACACTGGCATCAACCACACCAGGGAAGGGGGAGGCTCGGGGCTGGGAGGTCTGCTCCCTTCACACACCACCAGAGAAGTCTGTTGGCAGCTCAGCGCCTCGGGCAGAAGGGACAGTAGCTGTCTCCACCCCACCTGGGCCAGGACGTCCCAGCCCCCCACGTACTGCCAACCTTCTTTCACCAGCTGCCTCACAGGTGAGAGTCCGCGGTGACCCGCCCGCCACACAAAGGAGTCACACATTCTGCTCAGGCTCCAAGAAAAGCTGACCAGTTTGGGCCACGGTATCCAAAACAATCATTTTAGCAGCATAACTTTTTTTTTTTTTTGGCCAATAAATTCTTACTTGGAAGCCCAGCATATAAGATGGATAAAAGCAGAGAGGCTCCGTTTGGGGCCTCCCTAAGGCCTGCCAGCTCCTCTCCCGTTGCTGCCCTGAATTCCAACTCGGAACGTCGCTGCTCAGAACAGCCTGCTGGGTCAGAGGCCAGGCCTCCCAGGTGTGAGGGCCCCACAGCAAACGGCCTCCGTCGGTCAATATTTCAAACAACTGCACAGAACAAGGGACCCTCTCAAAGCCTTCTCTTGTGAGGGGCTGGCCCACATCCCTTTCAACTATCCCCTAGGCCCTCCACCCTGACCATGCGACTGCTCTCTCTCCGTACACGCGGGTTGGATGGTCTTGCGGGGACCTGAGCCAATGCATGATGGGATTAAATGATAGGTCCCCTGACCCACCGAGCTTCAGTATCTATAGGAGAATTTCTAATCCCACGGAGTATCAAAAAAAAAATAGTGCTAAATCCTCTGATGTGACTGTGCCGAGGCCTGCAGGCAGATATAAGCAATTACGAGCTTGCCTCTGCATTGTGGGGAGTAACCTGCTAAGCACAGAGCGTTTCTCCTCATCGCCTTCCCAGAGACCATCCTGCTCCCTGGCTCCAAGTCTACAACTTCCTGGGTAAAGACCACCCAGTCCAGGCAAATCTCTAACTCACCACTTTGTGGCAGCATAAGGTAATGACAGCGAGAGGGAGGAACTTTTAGAATCCAATGTAACCCACGTACAGGTTCCCAGCTCTTCTGCCTCTAAAACTGAAAACTTTCAAAGTTTTCTCCTGAGGGAAAGA